TAACTAATAATAAAGAATAACAATGAATGATAAAAGAGGGTCAATAACGACATTCTAGTCAACACGCGCAATGAAAAGCATTTCCAGTAACAAAAAGGGAGTTTAGGAAATGTGTGTTACAAGGTTTACTGAGCCTAAGAACTCGCAACATTTCAATGTGAATAAAATCAATAGTGACTCAAAAATGGTTTTTATAAAAATAGAGAAGAAAGCTTTGTAACGAGCTCTAATGTTTGACTAGTTGTTGTCGAAGAGGAACCACAACGTTCAACAGACTATTCATTTCCACCACCAATTATCATCCTCGGGCCTTATTCTTTTCTGAAGCCACCCTTCTTGGTGTATGAAGGTTTTACTTAAATTTATTTTTAGCTTACAGAAAACTTAAACACCGGTGGTGAATAGGATCCCACGTCACCGTTATATTGGGATAAAAAGAACATACATGCACTAAAGCAACAAATAAACTGAAATATATGAACTTTTAAAGAATAATAATTACAATGAATAGTAAAAGAGAGTCAAAAACGAAATTCTACAAACCACCAGCCTTTCCCAATATTATGAGAGAGGTTAATGATAATGATTGTCAATGAAGTTTTATCTAAAAATCCCCTGCTCTTAAAAAACAGAATCTAGTCGAAAAATGGTTGTTTAGAAAATAGAGAAGACGCCTCTGTAGGAGCTTGGACGTGCGAGTAGTTGTTGTCTAAGGAGAAACGACGTTCAAAAGTTTTTTTTTTAAATACAAATGAATACACCATTTTTTTAAAAAAAAAAAACGATGATATTTATTTTTCTTAATGATCTTCTTTCATTAATCACTTTTCGTCTTCCTGCAACAAGAACAACAACAAATCTGTTATCAACTTCCCTGCTGTATGATATAGTTTAAAAGGAGTTTTAGTGATCGAAGTATTTAAGTACATTGTGGAACCTCGACTTAACATACAAAGGGACTGGGGAAACGTGTTAGTTAAGTGGAGGGTTTGCTATATCGAACACCTCTATATAACGAATGCGTGGGAAATGTTACATCGTTAAGCGGAGATGAGGTTATAAGGGGTGTATGAATGTGTATATAAACACTTGGATAGTTTGCCAGACACAAGTTCACAGATCTTTGATCCCTTTCTCTATCTCTTTTGCATGTTCTAGCCATTTCTAATACTTAATCCCCTGAAGGACATCTGTGAGCAATTATTGATCAAACCTTTTAGTTTCTAAGGCTTAATTTCAGGCAAATAAAATGAACTGTTTGTAAAACTTTAACTTCTAATAATTAAATCTTTTGTAATGGTTTAAAATAAACTATTCTCAAAACAGAGAATGCTTTCAGATCATAGCTGTGTAAATCAAACTGAAACAGTGCATGAAACCTTTCGTTTCCTGTTTTTACTCTCACCCTCTGTATAGAATATGTGTGAAAATCTTTGATCATGAATCGGTATATTTCAAAGAGCTACACAATGACCAAGAATACTATTGACCGACAATATACAGAGGAGGTGGAGCTGTATTGCCAACTATTACTAGAAAAGATTTCTTATTTGAGGGAGGTGGTTAATAGAGGGATGGCTTTTATTTGAGGAAATAAAATATTTTGTATCATCTTACAATAGAACTTTGATTTCCACTTCAAGGTCAAATCCACAGAGCTAAACTTCCAAGGTTTTCATATTTGTTATAAATGTATGGTTCAGCTACATGTAAGAAAGACTTGCCAAAAAACTTATGAATTACTCAACTTGTTCAGATCTTAAGTGACATTTATATAACCACAAATATTTGTTAGTCTTGCATCCCCTAATACACCTTGTCTGTCTGCCCCCTCCCAATATTGTTGCATAAACTTTGCTCTCAGTATCTCTTGCGGAATGCAAAATGGTGAATACTGCTCTTCAACAGATATCTTTCCATCATAATGAAACAATTCTCTTCATCGAATTCTCATTAACGTATTGTCTTAAAAGTTACATGACTAGAACGCCCAAGAGCAATGTGATCAAACATTTTAAATTAAAAGTAAAAGAGAAATAGTGAAGAATTACAACTTCTAATCAATTCTTTGCTTATATTTTAGAATAAGGTATTCTCAAAACTGAGAATGGTTTGATCTGAGCTGCTTTAAAATCGAACTGAATCACTGCATGAAACGTTTTGTTTTGTGTTCTTATCTATGTATGCAATATGTGTGAAAATATCTATTATGTATCTATGTTTTTTAAAGAGCTACACAAACAAGAAGACCATTGACCGACCACGATACATACAGAGCGGGGGCAGCTGTAGTGTCAACTATTGATAGATAAAGTATGAAGGAGTGCTGCCATACATTTATTTGTTATGGTCTACAGTTCAAGGTTGCTTTATGATTTCCATAAATGGAAATCGGCTCATCCTCGGTGTAAGAACCTATTAAACTCACAAGTGACGTAAAACAGAGGAAACAAAGAAGTCAATGCAATAGAAAGCAGAAAAACAAAAGGTGCAAAACAAAGAAAAAGTTCACAGATTCTTACACCGAGGTAAACCCTGGAAATCGACAGATTAGATGCCTTACACTACCACATGAAAAATTACTGCAATTTGATTGGCTTAGAGCAGTGGTATTTCAGCTTAATTTGAAATACCTACATGTGAAAATTACAAACCTTTTGCAGGTAGTAGTATAAACAAATAATAGCATGATTTGTACGTGATATTTGGCATAAATACCACTCGTGATATTTCCAAGTTGTCTCAAATTTGAAATTACGTATAACAATTTCGAAATATCACTCGTAGTATTTATGCCAAATATCACTACAAATCATACTAGTACAAAAACAAAGCTCTTCATGTCATATGTCGTGGTAGCTTGCCCTCAGTAAGAGGAGCTTGCCCTCAGTAGTATAATAAATATGTTAGCTTCCTCGTGAATTAAACGCTTTTTTCATTCCAGAAAATGTGAGGAAGTATTAAAAAATTGAACTAGAAATCATATGAGCTTACCCCTAATACGTGAAAAGGTGAAAAGGGGTGCCATAACAGAAAACAAACAGAAAGATCCTACCACATCTTCATCCACTTTGTTGGTTGATGAAGAAGCACTTTCTTTGCCCTTTTTTATTTTTCTCTCCCCGTTATCTCTAAAATCTCTCTTTGCGAGAGAACGTTTTGGCATGCTACAACAGCACCTACAACGCAACGGTTGACAACTGATATAGTCAGGTGGCTAAAGGCTCAGATCTATACAGAGCGGACAAAAGCACCAAACTTTGCATGGTTGTAGCTTAGGGCATATTAGTCAATATTAGGAGCGGTGCCCACAGCTACCTCTTCAGGATTTGCAGCAATTGCTCGCTGAAGTTCTTCAACAACCTCCCATGATGGGTGCCCTGTGCTGAAAATTGCAATCCTTCGTTTTTTGCCATTTTTTGATGAAAATCACATAATAAGGCAAATACATGGAAATAGAAACTGTATTAATACTATTATTATTGAAGCTAATGACTAAAACAAGTCAACTTAATGATATAGCAATTATGATATACCATGGTGGGTCTCCTGTGCTAAAAATATTAACTCCTTGATTTTTGCCATTATTTTGATGAAAATCACATGAAATACATGAAAATTAAAAAAAAGAAATTGTATTATTATTGAAACCAATGACAAAAACAAGTCAACTAAATGGAAAATCCAGGCAAGACGTTTTCAGACGCGTACTCAGTACCAAAAAGCCTTTCAAGATGGCGGCTTGAAGGTGTCTTTTCATGGACTGTAAGTATCTGCTAGAATAGATTGCCGTTTTATAGGGGAAATTGTGTACAATTTGAATGGCGACAGGTTTAAGTGAAGTTTTAAGCTCTTCTTGGTGATAAATTTGTTATCGAAAGCCACATTTTCGCTTCATATTTTGTGCTGATTATGAATGACTACATTACTGAGTTTATTAACTTACTGGTTAGTTAAAGGTTTCTGAAGCTGAGATGTTTTCTACACTCCAGGATAGATATTAACTGGGATCGTTGTTATATTTGCCAAGAATCAACAAAAGAAGATCTGGGAAGCCCATTGGTTTAACGGTAAAAGCATTTATAGAAGGCTCCTTGAAAATGTACTAACTGACTTGCGAAACAGGCATACATATCAGAGGAACGCAAGAAGAAAAGTGGAGAAGCTTGGAAGGCCGAGGAAGACGAGGAATTAAATATATCAAGAGCATTTGTTGAACTCACTGAGTACATAGCAAATGAAGTGGAGAATGATACACATTTCTTTATACTTGCCGAACTTCATATTAAGCTGTATTCGTTACAAACAAAGGCACACACTTTGCAGTCCCACCATAGTGTCAGTCTTACAAGCTCGTTTGGTGCCACAATCTCCAACTTGCTGTTTCTGGTCTGCTTCAACATGCGTTTTTCTCTTTTCTAGTTTGCTTTTTCTAACTTGGACGTAAGGTGACAGGATTGAGGCCACTTTGCACTTCAGTAACGTGTTTACTACTGTAGCGATTTCAATATCAAACTTAATTGCAACAAGAACACAGTCCTCTTTCTTGAATTCTAGTAAATTGTCAAGGAGCGTTCTATAAATAATTGTTCCGTTAAATTAATGGGTTTCTCAGATCCTCTCTTTTCGATTCTCACCCTAAGTAAATATGACAACGATCCCGACTGATTTCCATCTTGGTGTGTAGAAACCAGCTGAAACTCAATCATGATAAGACTGAAATCATGCTTATCTTGTCGATTTACCGTACTCGTCCACCCGTTAGCGACTTTATTATGGGTAATTTAAGGCTAAGAACCACCGCCAACAAAGCCTGAGAGTAGTATTTGATGACGCACACGTCTCAACATTCTTTTGCAGATTATCGTTTTACCAGCTCAGGAACTTATCAAAGATAAGAAAGTGTCTCACACAGGAGTCTAGTGAAATTGCTGTGCATGCTTTCATTACATCTAAAATAGGCTATTAATTGGAATTCCTTGCTCTGTGGTTGTAGGAAAATGCACTTGAAGGAACTTTTAATAATATGTTCAGAACACTGCCCCCAGGATCGTTAATCGGTCTCGCAAACTTTGTGAGGACATCATTTTTTGGACCTTCACTGGCTTCCTGTTAGTTATCATGTTGTTTTTAAACTTATATTTTGTCAGTTTTCAAATCAATTAATAACCTTCCACCTAGCTATCTAGCGGACAGACTTAGTTATCAAAGGCCTTCCAGGAACTTGTGGTCCACATCTCAGCAGCTGTTAGAACCTCGAAAACTCACGGGGACATGACTTTTTCAGTGTGCCTCCCTAAACTGTGGAACTCACTACCATTAGCTAGATTTGCACAAGTCACCATCTTTAGCCAGTTGAAAGAAAGGACTGAGAACATATCTTTTTAGGCAGTTTTTAGCGAGTAAGTCAGTATTTTTGTAAAACGTCTTTAATATCTGCAGATCATACACCTATACTTATAGAATGTATATTCATTCATTATATATAAACTTTAATGGCAAAATAATTTTAAAACAGATGAATTCTTGTTTCCTTCCCTTGTTCTTTGTGAATTGCAAATAGATTTTAATATATGTATTATTTCATGCTCGAGATATAATTTTTTTTCCTCTTTAACATGGTAAAGCTCCATGTGCTTAGGATATGAGCGCTATAGAAAGAAACTATTTTTACTATTAATTTTAACCAGTACGAAAATAAACTCAGTATAGTCATTCATAATTGGCACAAAATGTGAGGAGAAAATGTGACTTTCGATAACAAATTTATCACCAAGAAGAGCTTAAAACGTCACTTAAACCTGTCGTGATTCAAATTGTACACAATTTCCCCTAAAAAACGGCAATTTATTTTAGCAGATACTTACAGTCCATGAAAAGACACCTTCAAGCCGCCATCTTGAAAGGCTATTTGGGACTGAGTGCGCGTCTGAAAACATCTTCCTTGGATTTTCCATTTAGTTGACTTGTTTTTGTCATTGGTTTCAATAATAATACAATTTCTTTTTTTTATTTTCAAGTATTTCACGTGATTTTCATCAAAATAATGGCAAAAAACAAGGAATTGATATTTTAGCACAGGGCACCCACCATGGTATATCATAATTGCTATATCATCAAGTTGACTTGTTTTAGTCATTAGTTTTAATAATAATAGTATTAATACCGTTCCTTTTTCCATCTACTTGCCCTTTTATGTGATTTTCATCAAAAATGGCAAAAAACAAAGGATTGAAATTTTCAGCACAGGGCACCCATCGAGGAAGGTTGTTGAAGAACTTCAGCGAGCAGTTGCTGCAAATCCTGAAGAGGTAGCTGTGGGCACCGATCCTAAAATTGACTAACCTGCCCTAAGCTACAACCATGCAAAGTTTGGTGCTTTTGTCCGCTCTGTATAGATCTCGCCAAAATTTTGCACTAAGCCACCGGACTAAAGCGATCGACCAAGTGAGCGGCAAACCACCCAGCAAGTACGTCATGTAAGGTCACCTATTGACCAATAAAAACGCGGGCTCGAGTATTGGAGGGTCATTTTTTTTGGCCCTCTATTACAATCTTCCCAAACGCTTTTATACCCCAGAGTGCACCGCAAAATTATCATTCACTTCCTCGTTGCTAGTTGATAGAAGCGTTTTTCGGCTTTAATGAGTTTGTTAACTGAGAGGAAGTTGCGATGTTTTCAGCCCTTATCTCGCTTTCAGCGGCGTGGAATTTCTTTATATTTTTTCATGAAATAGGTAAGTTTCGTTTTCTTTGTCAAATAAACATGTTTGATTTTACTTTTTGAGGGTAACTAGGCTTACATATTGGTTCGTACTTTATACCATCACAGACGCTGTACCATCGTTCACTGAAGAGCCATCGAATCCTTCACGTGTTAATGAAGGGGACAACATAACTCTTCGTTGGACTTACAACATTGATGGCACCTTTCGAGATTCAACTTTCACATTGGTACGCACGGGCGATACCATAGCACTGAAAGATAGCGGCGTCTTGACCGTGGTTCCCGCATTCTCAGACAATGTACAAGTGATTATATTAGACAGTGAAGCAACGTTAACACTCATTCATGTGAATAGATCAGACGATGGAGATTATCGATACTTCATTCGGAATACTAATTTCAGGTCAACAACAAGTACTGTCAATGTCTTTGTGCAGTGTAAGTAGACAACAACACAACAACTACTATTCTGTCTTCTTGTACGTATTCGTGCCATTTATATGCATCCTCCCTTCCCCTCTCCTTCCCGGTGGCCAAGATTTTCTCAGGAGGTAAGCTTATACGAAATAGAAATATGGAATTTCGTATGGTTGTAGGAGTGAAAGCAAGATGAAGGGTTAAAGGAGAAATGCAAATTTCAGAAGATTACTAAAGTATTTACTTGTCTTGTACCTCGCGAAGCTTCATAGGAAAAGGACCGATAGAAGGCATAAAGGCCAAAAAAGGTTCCAAGTGAGACATAACACAAAGACCATAAAATGTTCTCTTACCTTGATTTTCACTCTTATTTTGAAGCTATTAATCCACATCACCTCCATATTCTATGTAAAGTACTTCTGCTGTCTAAATTCATGGCCAAAATCATTTCTTGACCACTAAATCGGTCACAAAGAAATTGTTCAAGCTTTGTCCTGTCATGGTTTTGTTGCTAGGCAATTGCAAACACCAACCAAACCAACAGAATATGTGAAATGATGTCTCACTTTTGGTTAAGTGATCCTCATACAATTCATGTGCAAGGTAAATTTCAACAAATTTATAATCCTTGCTTCAAGAGGAATTTATTTACACATTATATATACAAGGCCAAATAGAAAACAGGCCTCATGAAGCAGGTGCTCTGACATTTTCAGTGGGCTGAAAGTAAACAAATGAATGCGCAGCAGTGTTGTTGCAAGGTTTGAATTACTATTTCTTTGTTCTTTAAAGTGCTAATACGACGTAAATTTGGAAGTCCTTCTTTTCTTTGGTTATGGAAAGAAAATGTACTAATAGCAACCGTGCCAATTTTTTTGCTCAGAATTCACACAAGAACTCCGATTATTTTGACAGAAAACATTGGCTTTCGCTGTCCACCATTACTTGGTTTGCGTAATGACCGGGAGTGAAAAAAGGGTTGGGACTAGCTTGAACGACTTGGATGTGACTTCAGACTCGCATTGATCCAAAATCTCGTGGCTGATTTCCTATGCAGTCTATGAGAGATGTGAGAGATTGCCTGGTTGTTGAATATACAACTTCAAAATTTCTCCACGCCAGTGAGTAGTGCAAGATTAATTGTGATCGTATATCTGCTCTAGAAGTGGAAATATCAATTCATATCTCTCCATTGGAGGACTCTGTCCTTTCCAAGTGGAATAGATTTGGTTTTCAACATCGCAAAAATTTGAAACCAATTGGTCAGTTTGGTGTGTGTTCATTAAACTTTACTAAGGACTGTTTTATGCGTGCAGTTCACATTAAAGGAACCAGAAGATATGTAAAAACAGGATCTGTTGCAACAATTGGGAAAAGGGAGTCCTCTTCTATCAGTGGACGAAGCTGTCAACAGGTTATTAAATCTCCTTGGTTTTTCCTTCAGAGGGATGCAACTTTTTTAAGATTAAGAAAGGGTTTTTTTTATCATGATCGGAATTTGTTTTTAAATAGTGGTCGCTTAGAACCAGTTCAATTGTTCCTAGTTACTGTTAGGTAAAGATATAAATAAAGCGTTAGACTTTTTTAGAACTCAGATTCTGACTTTCTCATTTCACACCTGTTCCTCATTTCCTTCTACATCGTTGTGATTGCCTGTTATGTGTTGCATTAAAAATAACAATTACCATCATTTTTAATTATTCAGAAAGAAAAACACAGTGATACTTTTGTTCTGAAAAGAAGTCTAAGCCAGGTATAAGTATATGGCTGTTGGCCTTGGGAAGGCTAGATAAATAATATTCTAACACACATAACGTATTGCTTACCAGCCTTCTCGATACCAATTGATGCTGAGATGTAAATAGTTTTATGTACAATGAGGGATATTCACACCATATTTTTCTCTTGGTCACACGCTAATTCTACTTTAAGTTAATTAGAAAATGCTGTTACATGCTGGTCGTGTATGTATCGAAAAAATCCATTTTTTCTTAATTTATTTTTTTATTGTTATAAACATCATTGTCTTGGCAGCATGTAAAGGAAATCTTGGAACAGCTTGACCTAAATCAGCAAAATCAGACAAATTCTGAGGTGGAGATTGAAGAGGATGTCGAGGTGGACATTATAATTATTCAACAATGTAACTTCATTATCTTGTATTCTTTGTGAACTGATGCGAGTCTGACATCACAAAGGAACTCATGTGTGAGACCACTTTCAAAATTCTTGCAGGCTTCTCTATTGCAAACTGAGTAATGGCGGACGGATTTTCGGTGGTTTTTGGCGGGCAATTTCTTGATCTATCTCGCTTCTATTGTTCTTAATTCAAATGCATTGTAATATGGGCACATCGACTGAATTGAGGTTGAAAAAAGCTGAAAAGAAAAGCAAAAATTTATGCCGTAGTAGCACTTTAACATAAACAGCAAGGCTCAGCCATTAAAAGTTGGTCTTCAGACATTTGTCCAGCAAGTTTGATGTTTTTACCTAGGAAAAATAAAGTCTAGCCTGTCACTTTTACTGGGCACTTTTGATCCAAATTGAACCTTAATTATACAATGTACTTTATCGATGCTTGGGGCAAAACATTATTGTTCTGTTGCTTTTGGCTCAACACACACATTGACAAAAAAATGATCTGTAATCATACGGCTCGACGTTGCGACCTGTGGGGTCGCCAATGCGATCAGCTTTTACTCAGTGGCGACTAACATTAATTTTCATGCCTGGTCACCAACCTCACGGCCAGACTTATTCGACAGCTAGTCATTCACAGTTGCGTTATTGTTGCATACATAATTAGTAGGCAGGATGGTGAAAACAATGGTTTCCTGGCAGGCGTTTCCCTCCCTCCTCGCGCGCCCCTCGGGTTTTCCTCGCGCCCAAAACCCACCTTCCCAGGTTCCCTTTCAAACACCTGCCACACAGGCTACATTTTCCTGGACACCGGCTGGTAATTGAAAACCGTTCAAAAGAAAGTTCAAAGGGAAGTCTAAAGCATTCTTTTTCTGTTGAGGCTAAGTAAAAGATGCTAAGTTTATTGTATTCCATTAGTTCTTAAATATAATTTTTGGCGACTAGAATACTTATTCTGGCAACCAAAAATGAAAACTTGGGGGCCAGCTGGCCCC